AACTCATTTAGTCTTTGCTTGTCTTGGAAACTCTTTATCTTTCCTTCTATTCTGATTGACAGTCTTGGTGGATATAGTAGTTTTGGCTGCATATTTTTCCCATTCAGCACGTTGAATATATCATGCCACTCTCTTCTGGCCTACCCCAATTTCTGTGGTCAGGTCTGCTGTTAACCTTATGTAGCTACCCTTATAGTTTAACAACTTTTTGTCCCTGGCTGCTTTCAGAATTCTCTCTTTATCTTTGTACTTTGCAAGTTTCACTATGATATGTCTTGGTGTTGACTTTTTTTGTTGTTGATTTTGAGGGGAGTTCTCTGTGCCTCTTGGACTTGAATGCCTGTTGCCTTCCGCAGATTAGGGAAGTTCTCAGCTATAATTTGTTCAAATAAACCTTCTGCCCCTTTTTCCTGCTCTTCTTCTGGGACTCCTATGATATGGATATTAATTGCATTTTGTGGAATTGCTGAATTCCCTAAGTCTATATTCATGATCTAATAATTGTCTTTCCCTCTTCTTTTCAGCTTCATTATTTTCCATAATTTTATCTTTTGTATCACCTATTCGATCCTCTGCCTCTTCCATCATCATTGTGATTACATCCAGTTGGTTTTGCATCTCAGTTATAGCATTTTTTTATTTTGGCCTGACTAGTTTTTAGGTCTTTTATCTCTGCAGCCAGTGTTTCTCTGGTGTCTTCTATGCTTCTTTCAAGCCCAGCTAGTATTTTTATGACTGTTTTCTAAATTATTGTTAAGATATATTGTTTATATCTGTTTTGGGTAAATCCCTGGCTGTGCTTTCTTCTTGATCTTTCTTTTGGGGAGAATTCCTCCATCTTGTCATTATGTCTAGGTTTCTGTCTTTCACATGTTATGAAAGTTTGTTATGTTTCCTACTCCTGAGAGTAATACTGTATTAAGAGGGGGTCATATATGAACCATGAGAGACTATGGACTCTGAGAAACAAACTGAGGGTTCTAGAGGGGAGGGTGATGAGAGGATGAGTTAGCCTGGTGATGGGTATTAAAGAGGGCAAATCTTGAATGGAAAAAAAAAAAAAGAAGGGGTCATACACTGTCCAGGGCCAGGCATTTCAGGAAGTGTTTCTGGTATATGCTGTGTGCACTCTGCTATTGTGTTTTGGCTGCTCTTTTCCACATGTCGGTCCTCTGCAGAGGTCCTCCTTCCTTGCAGGGGGGAGTGTTTGGACTTTTAACTAGGTGTGCTTTGATTTTTTGTTAAGATATATCTAAAAAAGGGGGGGGGAAGGCCTGATCCAAGAAAAGAGAAAAGGAAAAGGGACAACAAACAGACAAACAAAAAAGTGTAAGCCTGAGTCCAAAGAAAAAGAAAGAAGGAAAAAAGGAAAGAAGCCTGATCCAAAAAATGAGAAAAGGAAACAAATAAACAAACCAACAAATGA